GACAATACACGGTGCGCGCGACGCGACGCGTGCATCGTGCAGGTACCAAGACGTCCAAGGTAACCGAGCAATATTCACAGGATCGATTAAACTAGGGGAGAGAACGATCTCGCCGATCCTTTTTTAATTTCCAACTGATTCTCTCCCCTTCCCATAGTGAATCCAATATTAATTATCGTTAAAAGACAAAATTAAACTTACGGAGCATCAATTTAAAAAATGAGTTCTAATAATTCTTCAAGCATTCTCAATTCTCGAATCCATTATAAAAGAACATTTAATTTGACTATCTGACAAAATTAATGGATGAAATAAATTGCTGTCCTTAGAGCGTTTCGTTCCGTTCACCTGCGGCGTCAATTACACGCGAGCACGTCGTGTATACGATTTTATTTAAATCCCGCCCCCGTTAAATGCAAAACAAGAAGAAGGGTGTCGAATGGGCTCGCGGAATATCATAAATCACGATAAAACGTGCACGTGCGAGCACTCGACGCGCGAAACCTAACGAAAACTATTAACCCCGTTACACGAGTCCCTGTCGAGGCGTCCTATTTAACAGGGGTTCCTAAGAGTTTTGCATATGCGTCTCAATCTGATTTAGAACAATTTCCTGCGATCTTTCAAACCCTTTTTACAAACGATATTAATTAATCGATTCCTGAATTGAACATTTAATGTACGTTTGAACATATTTAAGTTGGATATACATTAGCATGCAATTATCGCTTCATTATGCTCATCGAAACGCGTTCGGATTAACAACATGCTGCGAGCAGAGGACGAGGCTCATTAGTAACGTGCTGAAGCACCTGCCTACGCGATATCATAATTTATGAGAAAGGCAGGGTAACGATTAGGTAATAAATAGTAGGCAAGGTCTCCGTCTCTCTTTCTCTTGTACCTTGGCCGACGAGACGCGCTCGTTTCCATTCGATTCGGGGGAGTGAATTAATAAAAAGACCCCTGGCTGCTCCTCGCCGCACAGATGTGGCCCCTTCGCGAAGGGGGTGTTTCTTTTATTTTTATTGCCAAGGGTTAATAGAATAGTTTGCATTCTCCAAATGTTGGACTACAAAGGTAGATATATTACACATTCCTCTTCCCTTTTCGCGCTGCTACTACAGAGGGAACAGAAGCACGCATGGCGAAGCTGTTTGTTTTGTAATTAAAATACAAATAATGATCTAGCAAATGAAATAGAATAGTGTAGCGTTCTCGTTTGACCAGTAATTCTACATTCTATTGATACAGGATCTTAAACAGTTCAACTTGTTAGAAGAACTTTTAGAAACGTATCTGAATTTCTTGAGAGCGTTGACTTTTTGACAGTCTACGAGTGAATATCAGCTTAATCGACGACTAGCACCACTACATGAAAACGAAATATGTATCCTCGACGACTGGTACCTCCGACTCGCATCACCGAGCGAGTTCTTACGAGTGCACTCACTGCATTCACCGAATCGTAGGTCGCATTGATCGAAGGCGGCCATCCGTGAAACGTGTTTAGCTTGTTGGCACACAAAACTCGACGGGACATCCGAGCCATACGATTTTTCCTGCCTACCCATCAACGATCATGCGAACGCGCCCACGTGCAATGCCACGCACCCGCACCCGCGCTTCATTTCACGCCAAGGCGGATCAAATCGTCCACGGGGACTAGCAATTGTCATTGGAAAACGAAATTGAACAATCAAATGTAAAGTGTTGACGAACTCATTTATTCCTAGAACGTGAAAATAATAAAATGTACTGAAAAAAGTTCCTATGTATTTCATGCAAAATCTGGAATAAATGGATATTTAGAGTATCTGGAGTTTTGAGATAAATCCATTAAATTAGCATAAAGGATGTGTAATTGTATTAAAAAAAAATTCAGAGGAATTGTAGCAAAGGTCTGTTTGAAATTTCATCATTACCGGAGGTAGTAATTCCGAAGATTGTCTGCGACGGTATGATAACTCGTGAACGAGCACGCGTATACGTCCAGCGCGTTTTACGAGGACCCACCACGTGGAACGGGATCGAAAGCGCTTGTCCGTTGCGTTTGAAACTCGTTCGAGTCGAACATGCGGGCATATGTGCTCATTGTAACGCGATAGACGCGCAGTCAAATGAGCAATACACGTTGCCTCGTCACTGTTAAACGATCGTGACAATATCGACATCGATATTCATTGTCAGTAATAATTTCAGAACAAGGTTTTTCTATATCTAATCTCCAGATTGTAAGAATTGTTATACAGAAAATATAAACACTGCATGTGATGCGTAAAGTTATGTAAAATATCAAAAGTAAATACATGTTTCAGTGAGTAAATGATAAAAGAAATTTTTGTATGAAAGTATAAGTATTTTTGGATTATAAAAAAGGAACTTGAAAAAGTTCTAATGATTATAGGGTCGCAAGAGGCTATAAAAGATAATTACTTACGTAACATTACGGACAGGGAAAACGATTTCAGAAATTGAATCCGCTAGACCGGTCGAGTCCAGTAATCTCCAACCTGCGCTGTATTATTAGAAGATTACAAATCATCCTCCGTCTTTCTTAAAGAACTGAATTTCGCTTTAAACAATTTTAGGATAATTCGAATCGGAAGCTTTATCATAGATATTTCTATATAATAATTACCTATATAGACATGTATGTATCTATGGCTAATTGGCATGCTTGAGTATTTCTCACATTTAAAATTGCGAAACGAATGCGTCTCTATCAATACAGAATGGATTGAGAATCGTCCCCTCCTGATCTGCTCGTATTTAGGGAAGAACGTATGCAGGGATAATATGTCTACGTCTTCCCCTTTGCGCACGAAATTAGATTGCCGGAATTGCTTGTAAACGTCCGGCAACGAAATGGATCGTGTGTTTGGAAAAGTTTGTAGATGTTCCCAGGTGTCTTTATTTTCTTCCCTTTCCAAGTTTTCTTCCTGGTTACATACATACGTATGACTATTTGACGTCTTTATAGAGTCGACAAGTGTGAATTATGTCTCTTACGGTTAGTCAAAACGTGTCATTCTTGGATTTTTTCCCTGAAGGAAGCTTATCGAGCAACTCGCGCCTAACTTCCTGTGTGGTTTACTGATAAACGATATCATACGTCGTCACTGTTTCACCAGAGTCAGGTTTTACTTTATTTAATAGCAATACGACCACCGCAGCCACAAAATTTCACAGGCAATCCTCTTGACGTTTCAATAAATATTTTCTAAACAAGTTTTGTTAAAATTACATTTTAAGTTCTATTTTATATAGAATGACGAACACTCTTGAAAGTGATAGTAAGTTCGGTAATAAGTCGCATAAATTTTTTATAAAATGGCTCCAATTTGAAGAGTATATTTGACAAAAGAAATGGAAAGGGTCTCGAGGAATTCGGAGGGGATGATTCGGGGCTCGTGTATCGTTTTGTATTTGTTGAAAACAGACGTATTGTCCGCGGGGGGGAGGCGACGAGGGGTAAGAAAAATCGGTGGCCCGGCGCGAACGGCCCCTGTAGGCACTCGTCGCATCTGCCTTCGATTTATTTCCAATCGTAATTGATGACTCCTCTTTCCGTGCCCCCGGCAACCTTTTTTCGCCAGTCCGATCCTCTCGAACGGCCCGTACCGAGAGGTGACTCCTGCTCAACTATGTAATAAACCGTGTCAGGATTTTACATAATAGAGGCAAAAGTCACGCTCTTCTCAATAAATTATCCTCCACCATTATCCCTGTCTCCACTTTCCATTATAACGTCAGGATTTATTCTGAAGAGGCCAGTCAGGTATACGTTGTAAACCTCTCATTCCACTGCAGGTTGATCCAAAATTGTACAGTTACTTGATCCATTTATTTATTTTGCTTTTTCAAGAATCAATGCGAATTACACTTCTAAGATTTGTTATATCAGATTCTGTGATATAAAGGAATTGTTCTTTTTTCTAAAAGTAGCACAACGGATATTATCTTGTGATGGAGCACCAAGTTTCCGTTGGTTTCGCGATCTCGAAGGACCGTTGCTCGTGGGAAGCGGCAGCGGTCCTTGTTCCCCCGTATCGGTTCTCCACGAATATGGCTTCTTATAAGAATTCCGATACTCGGATTATCATCTTACATCGAGCCATTGCCCGCGAGATCATTTCTTACATATTTTCCTCAAAACAATCTTCTTTGACGCTTCCAAGGTGTAGATAAGCATTATGTATCATGTTGATTTGTTTGCAATATGAAACATTTATGGTATCAGTTTGCAAAATGTGTTTTACACAAATATTTCGGACAGTTTCATAAATTGCAAAAAATCTGCACACTACTCATCTTTTATGCATATTAAAATAAATATTCTTTTTAAGATTAGATACATTGAACATTATCGTTCTGCATGAACATTAAACTATCATGTACCCGACATGGATCAACGAGATTCCATAGATAGCTGAACGTGTAGCTCGAAACAATAAAAGCAGATTTAGCTGGGGAGATTTCCGGACGATTCCCATTTGATAGGATCAACGGTGCGATACTCCTGTGTTTCAACGCTCGGACGCCTACAGCATTATTCCAGAAAATAACCACCCTAATGCGGCTCCCCTTTGCTTCGCAAGTACGTGACCGATTACCTCTGCATACGTAGATGTGTGTATCCACATCCACTACTCACACACGAGCACGACTGAAATCAGTTGTGATTCCTTTGATCGTCGATTGCCCTCCCATTTTTTTTAAAACAATTTTCATACGTGAGGAGCATTGCTCTCTTAGCGTTTAGAAAACCAAATCGTTAAATATAACAATTATGATCATTGTCATAATTCAACAATAATTTTATCTTCGTTTTATTTTGCATAAAAAATAATAATCTAGTAACAATCAATTGAAATCAAGAAATGAATGACTTGTGCTAACTAATAGATTATTTTTCTTTAGGATTTGTATTGAAATGCTAATGATATGAACTGTTTATGTAAAGTTCTAGGGGGAATAATAAAGGCGAAACACAGGTATTCGACGGAAATTACATTTAATCAGTAGACATCTTTATACAATTGTGATGCGATTTCCATATACGATTCTCTGGGAATTCCCAGCCGTGATTCACTTCGTAACTCGCGTGAACATACGGCATACGATGGCCCGTGGCGTCGAGGAGCCGTCGTTTACAAATTAATCTAAAATTCTTTACAAATATGTACAATATAAGGAAAACTTTACGTAGTATAACATATCCTATCGTATCAACGATACGTATCATTATGAACGGAAAATATATCATTACACAAATCACATAGTAGATTATTAAACAAAACTTGACTATTCTTTCGTTTTATTAGAACGTGCATATGAATTTTTCATTTGATGAAGTTTATGAAACGAATGCATTTTGCATGTTAGTAAATTGAAATTCGCTTAGATAAGATTATTCAATGGAATCAGTAATTTCTGTCATTTAAAATTACAATTCTTGTTGACTTACTTCGTGTGTTTTATAACATGTCATAAAACTTGTGAATGTTGGTATGTACGCCACGTATGCAACGATGATACGTAACGGTGATGCGATATAAAAGGATACTTATCTTACGAAAAGAGAACGAAACGTCGATGTTCGTTCGACGATTCGCGCACGGCGTTCCGTGATCGGTTCACGGAACTTCTTGTGAATCATGTCTCCCATTCAGTTAACGAACGTGACGCACTCCGTCGTCGCCCAGAAATTCCGCCACGTGACATTTCACACATAATACACATACTCCGAACCTGTTGTTTGTTCCGTTGAGGAAATTCTGGGCGACGACGGAGTGGTATGTTGTTTGTCATAGGAAGACTTTAAGAATTAGTTAAAAATCGTAGTTATTCTTATTTGATGCTGTCGATAAAAATTACAGGGTCGTATAATAAAATCTGATCGGAAATCTAAAATTAAGACTACCCGTACTTGTTCTATTTAAGAGCTCCGTTTTAATAAGACCTATGCGAATTAGGTCTGTCTGCACATCTTCGATCGTTTCTCTACGTTTGGACTGCAGCATTTCTTGAATGAAATCCATCGTCGCATTAAACGATCGAATTAATTTTAAATATAAACCACGGATCAACCTCTATAATACAAGATAGAAAGGTTCAAGAAATGCTGAATGTTTTTGACGATAATCCGGGTTGCGTGTATATTTTAAGCTGATATGTTAATCGTTTATACTCGAGCTAGACAAAGCTTCGTGATGGTTTTTTGTAGGATTAAGGGATAAAGGGTACAGGTAAAATTCGTTGCACGATGTGACAGAAACAATCATAAAAATTTCCGCTCACTACAGTATAATCCATTCTCGTTTTATATTTTAAGCTCGATCTCACTTAAAACTATAAATGCATGAACTTTTTTACGACTGTTTCTGCAACAAGGTATGAATTCAAATAATATACAATCTTTATACTAATGATCTAAATAATACAATCTTTACACTTAGATAAATGATATCATCGTCAACAAGAAAAAAGTGAAGATTTATACATATGCACATAAAAGACTCTGAACCTTTCAATAATAATTTACAATTCGCTCCACTTACCACGATAAAATAATATCTAACGTAACGCGCTAGACGATAGATATCTACGAATCGGTCGAACAACGAGGACCTAATTGGTAAAATGGATGAAAGGTACGACGTGTCTTACGAGGGTTCTTATATTAAATTGTACATAGAAATGTTTTCTACGAACAGTATAATTACAGTATATCTATCGAACAGTATAAGTATAGTCCATATAAAAATCGGCGTTTTTATAGAACGATAGAAACAGTAGAAGGAATCTGAAGACGGGAAATATTAGGATGCATGGGAATCGTGAGATGTTGAAATCGCATTTTTAATACTTCGTACAGTATGAAGAATTAAAAACTCTAGATATTGTCGTTTTTCTGTAGGAGAAATGGTTCCAAACAACACTCAGGTGAATAAACATGAAGACTGCTGAACACATCGAAGATATTTCGGCTGCATGTAATAGCTAGGATCTATTAAAGTTTCTATATTGAAGGAAACAGGAGAAAATGATCTGAAAACTATGTACAAGTCAATAACGAAAAGACTTTAAGATCCTAAAATATTACAAGTACAGTTGCATCAACATTTCTCAATTCCGAATCTCGCAATCCTGAATCTCTCACAGTCTAATAATTAACTAATTGGTAAAACTCAGTCAGCGTCGTCCAGATTCCTCCCAGAATCAAGTGTCTTGACTTCATGTCCCTGCCAGCCTTCAGCTGACTCGAAGACGATACCCAGATCGGAAACAAGTCAAGATGCATCGCTGGCGGGTTTCTCGGTTCCTCAGTAGGATCTCAGCCTGACCTCCATCTCAGGGTCCTGTCGGTGGGTGAGGTGAGGCTCAATAGCTCCTGTGGCACCGGTTCCCGCTCCGGTAACGTGGTGTCCATGGTGACCGTGGTGATGATGGTGGTGATGATGGTGATGGTTAATATGCGGCGGTTGAGTGGCACCCGCTCTGTATGCCCTTTGCTTCTCGTCGAAATCGCGCACTCGCTGGTTGTAACGTTCCAGTTGGTCGCGGAGGAAAGCGTCCTCTTCCGCCGCACGTTTCTCGTCGTATTCCAAGCACCCCACGCCGTCGAGTCGCTCCAAGTCGATCCAACCACGCCACAAAACGCACACGCCGTTCATTATCAGTCGTGATCTGATGTGTACCTGCAATCAGAATTATTCTTTCCCTTCATACGAGATCCTGTAGCCATCAGAACGACTGGACCAAACAGTAAAAAAATAAAAATGCCTGGGAGACATCAACCTAAGTATCTCCTTTGGTCCAGTCATTCTGACGGACGCGATTTTTAGATGCAATAAAACAGTTGGAAGTTTGATATGATGACAGTTCCAAAAGAAATCATGATTAAAATATTAGGATAATTGACCCAAATTTTTGAATTAGCAAAAAATTTGTACTTATTATAATATACATTCAGTAGAAGATGTATTCTGTACTCTTTTCTTGCTTCCACGACGAATGGGTTATTAAGTCTGACGATTTTGCTTCAACTTTCAATCATGTTTTCCTCTCCCTACAGTCCCGACCGTTCCTTATTTCCAGAGAACGATTACGCAGATTGGAAGGTACAAGCTTCGAGGGGAAGAGATGAAATTGCGAGACGAATACCTGGCGTCGTAACAAATCTACTGTTTTGATAATCGGAAGAATAAACGATATAAGGCAATTTTTGCAGATTTTGTAGAAGCAGAAAGATATTATATGAGACAGAGAACAACGATGATTCGTTGCTCCAGAATATTTGGATGTGAAGTTGAGCCTGAGCCACAATATACACGAAGTAAAAGGGAATGGAACGAAAGGAGGAAAGGAAGGGCCGAGGCTGTTGGGCTTCGAAAAAGTCGAAACAGCCCATTATCTCGGTCTGGCTAAAGAGGGTTATTTTATTTCGTGGCAAATGGCCCCGTTTCCGGTCTCTGCAGTCTTTAGTCTTAGAAACTGTTATTGAAATCTCCGCTAGAGAAAAGTTTGTCGATGAGAAATTAAACCTCTCCTTTGCAGGACTTTTCTGTTAATCGAAATCTCAAAGCTGATTTCAATTTCAGACTTATAAATAAATAACCACGTAAAGTCCGCAATTTAATAAATCGTAGAAACATTTACAAAAGAACGAATGGCACCAAAAATCGCGATTCATTTTTTGACCTGTAGAATCATTATTTCGTCGTGTTACGCGTTTCAACTTTTATTTTCATTCAACGAAACACACAGCTGGTTGTCGTCGCTACGTAACAATGTAACTGCACAGCGTGATGCTCTTTGTGCGACTATAATCGAGCGGCGGGTGCAATCGGCGGGTTATCGACTCGATAATCGAATCGTTTGTCGCCTATTCTAAAAAACTACCGAAATTACATCGTAATTTCGTCCTTTTTCAAAAGAAAAAGAAATCGAAGGAAACTGGAGAATTAAAGGATTAGTGAAAGAATGCATCTTTGAAAAAGAAATTGAAAGGGAATTCCCAAAGCGATTTCGACGTCAAATACTTATAATTGACCCAAATTTTTGAATTAGCAAAAAATTTGTACTTATTATAATATACATTCAGTAGAAGATGTATTCTGTACTCTTTTCTTGCTTCCACGACGAATGGGTTATTAAGTCTGACGATTTTGCTTCAACTTTCAATCATGTTTTCCTCTCCCTACAGTCCCGACCGTTCCTTATTTCCAGAGAACGATTACGCAGATTGGAAGGTACAAGCTTCGAGGGGAAGAGATGAAATTGCGAGACGAATACCTGGCGTCGTAACAAATCTACTGTTTTGATAATCGGAAGAATAAACGATATAAGGCAATTTTTGCAGATTTTGTAGAAGCAGAAAGATATTATATGAGACAGAGAACAACGATGATTCGTTGCTCCAGAATATTTGGATGTGAAGTTGAGCCTGAGCCACAATATACACGAAGTAAAAGGGAATGGAACGAAAGGAGGAAAGGAAGGGCCGAGGCTGTTGGGCTTCGAAAAAGTCGAAACAGCCCATTATCTCGGTCTGGCTAAAGAGGGTTATTTTATTTCGTGGCAAATGGCCCCGTTTCCGGTCTCTGCAGTCTTTAGTCTTAGAAACTGTTATTGAAATCTCCGCTAGAGAAAAGTTTGTCGATGAGAAATTAAACCTCTCCTTTGCAGGACTTTTCTGTTAATCGAAATCTCAAAGCTGATTTCAATTTCAGACTTATAAATAAATAACCACGTAAAGTCCGCAATTTAATAAATCGTAGAAACATTTACAAAAGAACGAATGGCACCAAAAATCGCGATTCATTTTTTGACCTGTAGAATCATTATTTCGTCGTGTTACGCGTTTCAACTTTTATTTTCATTCAACGAAACACACAGCTGGTTGTCGTCGCTACGTAACAATGTAACTGCACAGCGTGATGCTCTTTGTGCGACTATAATCGAGCGGCGGGTGCAATCGGCGGGTTATCGACTCGATAATCGAATCGTTTGTCGCCTATTCTAAAAAACTACCGAAATTACATCGTAATTTCGTCCTTTTTCAAAAGAAAAAGAAATCGAAGGAAACTGGAGAATTAAAGGATTAGTGAAAGAATGCATCTTTGAAAAAGAAATTGAAAGGGAATTCCCAAAGCGATTTCGACGTCAAATACTATGAACAGTACTACTTTTCATATGGTAGCCGTCGCGTGTAGAACGACACGTAATGGGGAAGTACAGGATTCGAAGGACGTACGCGATTCACGCGTGACTCTCGTTTCATTATAGATTTCAATCTTCCCAATCAGCACATCTGCTTTCATATCAAAAGTGTACAGTCGTTTAACTCGATTCTCACAGCATAATGGTCCAAGTGTATCTTCTGCTTGGTAAGCCAAACAGGGAGCACAAAGAGAAAGCCGTGAAAGAGTACTACAAGACAAATTAATGTCATCTGTACCAGTTTCTTCATTCGTTAAAACAAATAAAAAAGGAACGTGTCAGACCGTTGGAACAATACAAAAAGACAAGCCGTTTCGCTCTGTCATTAGTTTCTCACGCGAGAAAAACTATCAAAAAATCCATTTCACACCTTTACGTTCACCTCACGGGGCGTGACGCCCATTATCGCCGGAGTATAATAGCCGGCGATATTTAAACTGTAACGCGTGTCTCGTTCACGTCTTTCGGCGACTGCAACCCTTTCGCTGACTTATTTGCATGTAGCAACGGTGAATGGACAGAGTGAGCGAGAGGCATGATGAGAAAAAAGAAGACGCAACGTCGACCCGCCGGAACGAAAGGGGTGAAAAATCGGGAAAGGGTAGTTGGGAGGCTTGCGCTACGGTCTAAACGTCCCGAGACAAACGACCGGCTATTTCGACGGCTCTATTGTTTTTTCGGTAGGCGTTGCCGTCACGCTGCCTTTTTGCGATCGCGTCCAGCATTACAGAGGGCAGAAACAACATTCGTCAATCCTCGCCGGAAAGCTAGGACGGGACATACGGTCAGTATGTCCGGACCCTTTGTCTTTCGACGAAAAATTCGGTAGTTCTTTATCTCGATTCAACTATTTTATTATACGTTTCTTCCGGAACAAAAAATTACCTATTCAATTATATTGTACCCAAATTATTTAATAAATCATCAAAAAAATAATTTATTATTCTTGTGTTGCAACACGGCTTTGGAAAAAGATGAAAATGAAAATAGAAGATTAGCCCGAACATTTTTATTTTAAAGGTGCGATTAGACAGCTTCGCAGAACCGAAACAGTTCCTCGGATACAGCCCTGTAAAAAGGCTACCTAGCACCCTAACAAAGGTGTAAATCATCTTGACCTAAGTCAACGCGTTTCGATTTCGACTGGGGATTTTACGGCTCGAAACTCGCGCTAATTTACAATAAGTATATTTCAAAAACTAATTAAACATGAAACAAAATTGTAAAAACGACGCAAAACGTGAATGATATAGATTATAGGATTGAAGATTTCGATACAAGAATCAGGCAGTTTCAGTTTTACTAATTTTACATGAATCAAAAAAAAATCATTGGGTGAAAACTAGAAAATAATTTCGTTTTTTTATAGCGCTATGTATTTTATTAAAATCGAAATGACTTTTTTGTTAACTCAATATTTAAACAAAAATTGAAAGGGCAGAGAATATAAACTATAGATGTAATCGATCAGATATATGAAATATCCCAAATTACAGCATATCAGAATACGACGTAAGAAAAATTGAAATAAATGTTTGAAATAGAGAGATTATTTTACACAAAAATCTGCATCTACTGAGATTGAGTTAACTGACCAAGGGTAAGCGCCGGCAAAGCGTGAACTGGCGATCGAGTTTGATAAGATCGACAGAAAACGACGCGCTTCCTTACGGTATCTACACCCCTTTTTCAATTCTCTCCGAAGTCTTTATCGAGCTTTATCACGCTCGATCTCGCCCTTAATTATTTCCTCTCGACGGGGAACGAGAGAGGAGACAATAGTCGGTGGACACGTGCAGCCGTGCGTCGCTCTTTATTAAGCTTTTCTCTCTCCTACGCTCATTGTCGATTAAAACAAAACGCTGGCCGTGGGTCGCCATGTAAACAACCACCGCCGGCTCCTATTTTCTCTTTTTATCCAAAATAATGAATCGTTAGCGCGGCAGATCTGTCCGATAACGGGCGGAATCTAGAAACGAGAAGCGACGCTGCGTGATTCGCAGTGGTCCTGCAGTGACTCATTCAGAAAGCGTGAATGCGATTTGATTGCGAAACCGTTTAGAGGAGTGATGAACTTTTAATACGACTTACTGGGAATCTGATGAATTTTCTTGAAAACTAAACGATTTTTATTTGTCAAATTAAAATAAAGAAAAATAGAAACATTTGGTTATTCCGGATATTCCATCCGCATTTTAACTTTAAAGAAATATTTATTATATATTACTAATTTATAATGGAAGTAGATTTAATTAGAGAACAAGAATTTTCAATGATGTTCCTCTTTTTGGCATAAAAGTGCAAAAGTTTTACTCGAGCTTATTCAAGCATAAGAGTACTGTATGTACATATGAAAGGCAACGATCGAAGTTCGAAACGTTCGAGTCTAAATAGAGTCCAGAGTATTTCATTCCTGTCCTTCATTCGCCGAAAGACGCCGACGAGTCCTACGAGAGGAGGACTTTTCGTTCACCCTGCGGAGGATCCCAAGAGAGGCACAGGCCAAGATTTATGACCCACTATATACCGGGTGACTTGTAAACCGTTCGGGCATCTGGCACCAGGCATCTCTCTTGTTTGATGGATTTCGGAAAGCGCTAATTGCCTCGAGTAGCTGCTAATGGGTCCACGCTACTGCTCCCGGGTATATTCGAGTAACTCGAAAATCAAACCGAACACAAACGCAGTTATATTTTCGACTTATTTTCTCGCGTAGAATCAACCCCTCGCTTGCACTATCAGTTATCAGTACCATTCTATGTAATTAATGAATTCTTGCGGGATATTTGTCTCGCAATCAAGATCTCTTAGCTGAAAAAACGAACTACAGAATAATACTAAGGAAGCGAGCAATGGAGCAAAAAAATCAAGTATCGTGTTTGTAAAATTTAGGTGAACGTGCGCTTCCTAGAAAATGGCGGATTCGCGACGCATCTATTGATCGCGATGGCGACGCCTGGGTGGCATCGCGTCGACCCTCTGCCGACGCCGGCGTACAAGGATTCAAGTCCTATCCAATTATTCAAAATGACAATCACGATCACATTTATGTAATGCTTGAAAATCGTTTTAAAAAAGAGACGCATAAAAAGTTATGAGAGTCTGTCGTGTAAGAAAGTGAACACGAAATCATTTCTTTCGTACGGACTTTACAAATTGACTCGTAACGTTAAATGTTCTGGTCATCCCCCGCAGAGACGGTGAAAATTTCGGGACCGGATGTCTGCCGTTCTGCCGTGAACGGTGGCACCGTGACACTATTGTTCGAGAAGTAGCAACGGATACTAAATTGCTCGTGGGGCGACTCGACACACGATGCCAAGGACACGAAAAAGTAGACGTCCTGTCCGAGCTGACCCGTTTAACGACCTCCCCATTTGTCAATCCACAATCATCCAATTAGAGTCACGATTATCGCTACGAGCGCGAAAACGTGACCACTCTATGATGTCCCATCTTAACTTATCACCAGACTACGGATTTTATGCATTTGTAGAAAAATTAGATATGCACGTAAGAAATAAGTGGAATATTATTATTCTTGAGCAATAAAAGAAATTCCTATCTATAATAAAATGCAGTCTTTACAAATGTGTTATTTTTCTAAAACATCCTATATTATCCTCAATTCACACAATTCTTGTTCACGTCATACTTCCTACTCACTTACGATTACATATGAAATGATCGAAAAAATTATATAATCTTTAAAAAATCGACGCACGGCATTTTTGATAGCAATGAAAGTGCTGTAACATAACTATCGGTGACTCACCTTGCCGCGTTCTTTCTCAAAATCGCAATCGTTGACATCGTTACTGTAGTTCGCGGTGCTGTTGCCAAATACGAGCTGGAGATTAGTGCCCGTAGCTGCAAACGCAATCTCTGTAAAACCCTCTCGACAACCATTTTGAAAGCGTACTTGACGTTCTTCAATTGGTCTGTCTCGATAACCAGTGTATCTGACCTGTAAATCAGAAATAACACAAATCTTTCGATCACCTTGAATTAAGAATGATTGATATTGATTTTTGTACAAAGTAGAATTTTTTAGAAAATGAATTGTGGATACCACTTCTTCTCATTGTTCAAATATAATACATATTTCTTGTACCGTTTATAATTTCTTTTAATGTTCTAATATAAAACTTTGCATTGTTTGTAACATTTTTCTATAAATATATAAAATTCAAAATGTATTGATGAACAATTTATAATTAGAAGAATTTCGTTGATTTAAAATGCCGTGAGGTAACTTAGTGCGCGGTAATTCTGTGTGATTAATCTGTCCGTCGGAAGAGAATGAAATCAGAGATGAAAAGTAAGGAACACAGTTTAGCAACACTTTACGATTAATTGCGAGATTTCAGAGAAACGATGACATTCGTTACAAATGAGAACAATGAAACTGACTAACATTTTCACTGGTATCATACATTCGTCTGAAAGATTTAAATTATTTGAAATTTATAACATTTAATATTTGTGTCTTGTTAAAGTGAATTCAGGAAAAATCTTATTATAATTTAGAACATATAAATTTCTGTAAATACGCCTTTGAAATGTCTGTATACTATTTACAAATTAAACATCTTTCAATGTATCTTCAACAATAAATATATTGATGAATCGTTGTAGAATGTATTCCAAATATTTTGACTTAATTTCCTTCCTTCGACGGATCACATAAATATCAAAGATAAAGATACATATCTCTTTCAAATGCCTATTGCGAATCTTTCTACTTAACGATTCACAATTGAAGCACATTCTTTCGTCAGATAAGAATGCGACTGCAATATTTATTCAAGTTCAAATCATTGAGTTTCTGTATTGAGTACTCCTGTGACTTATGTAAAATGTAAAACACTAGAGCTACCGATTTTTTTTTTTGATATCTATTACTATTATTTAAAACCAGTCAGACTTAAAGAAAAACATCGAACAATTTTATAAATCTCACTTCTCTATAAATTTACTTTTTCCTAGAAGTGTTTATCGTTTCCAATATTCGGTACAGTTTTTTAATCACATTTCCTAAATCTTTGACAGAGATTTTACGGCTCATACAATCTTAGAATTAGCATTCAGATTTTTCCTCAATTTACCTCGCTTTCGCGACTCAATCTCCTGAAGAGTTCTTCGGTCTCGAATTTAGCCTTCTGGTTCGGTACCACCCTGGGCATCTTAAAAAGGAACCTGGGCCGTTGTTGCTCGAACAAACCCATCCCGTCGAAGGGCAAGACGCTGACACCCAGTCCACCCGCTCCAGCCGTGTGCTCGCTCATAGTGTGCATCATTTTGCACGAATTTATTTAAAACAGTCGTCGTAATGTCAAAACCAACCGAATCGATCGAGCACGTTCAACTTGTCGCTCACGACTGAGCACACTACGATTAGTGTCTTGCAGTTTAATAACCAAAGTCCGTTCACCGTGCACCAGAAAATGTTCTCGCGTTGTACGAAACGTTTATGTACCGAATTGCGCGCGTACGACTGGAACGTGCGGCGTCTCAGTGGAAACTAAGGACAAACGGCGGCAAACGCGTAGAGTTTCCTCGTCCTGGATCCAAACCACGCCTCTCGACCTGCCCCCGTTCGCCCCACTGCTATCCATTTTTAATCTCGGACTCCGAAGGGTGAGCTTCGGAGAGGGGTGAACCATCCCGTCGTTTCACCCTCCGAGGGAAACCGGCAGCGTTACGGGGTGACTCCGAAATCTCCGGATTTCCTAACCGTTCGTATGCTAGGTAAATGGGTATCGAATTTCTGCATCAGATATGTTATTTATTTGTTTCTATTAAGTTTCTAGATACGACGCGTAGAAATGATAGTCGAAACGAACATTAACGCACTCAAAAATGAAATAACTTTTTAAATGGATAAACATTTTACTTAAGTAATAACTGTAAACGAGATTTATTGACGTGTACTTATAAAAGACACATAGAAGATCAGCGTTCTAAACTGGATTTATCCACCATTTTTTAAGCCCGATCATATGATACGACATGCGACAATAGAAAAAAAGAGGAAAAACAGCTTCCACTTCAGCTGGTAGCATCGGTGAAAGGTGATTCCCGGCGGGTCAGAAGCGAGGATCAAAAGGATGGGGCGAGGCGATGAACGCAGCGCAAGGATAATACATGCGTATAATGTATACAGTAGCAGCGAGGACAGAGATTGGCTGATATTATCCCTCGTAGATATAAGAAATTCGTGTCAGGGGGTCCCTGTTTCGTTACGGGACGACCACACAGCTTCGAAACACCGTGTATCCCCTCGAGGGTAGAGATCTTCATCATCCGTCGAGTGGCGAGGGCTCATCCGTTTGAGAGGATCATTGTCGAGGATCCGCGATTAAGATCGACGACCCTTTGCACGATCCGCGTTACGGATCGTAGCTAGTATTACTATTTAGTGTATTCCGTATTTTTTTTGCTTTGACATCTTTTATGGCCGGAACTGAGCGGAAAAACGCAGTGGGACAAGGCCATTTATGGTGGTTCCGTACCGACGGTCATAAGGCTGTAAATCTGAAAAAATGGAATATGACAAACGGCTGTGTAACAAAGAAATCCACTTAAAAGCGGCAATATTTTTTATCCCGTCGGAGGAATTTGTAAATATGAAGGTAAGAGAAAGTAAGGGATCAAAAAGGTTCTCGCAATTCATCGCAGGTACAGAGAGCAATATTCCCAAGTTCATCTAGGTCGCAGTTTTATTGCCTATTTTTATGATCACCCAAACTGCCGGGGTTTACGACGTTCAAAATTTCCCACTTCTTTTTAAGGATTTGTTTTACTGAAACGTTAATTAAATAGTTGAAGTTGTTGACTGAAATTTTCCTTTGGCCAGGCGAGAATTGTGGTGCCAGCACAAATTTTGCCAAGCTCTCATTATCCTCCGTTGAAATTGAACTTATCGTGTTTCGTTGCCATGAATGCTGAGCATGGCGAAGTTAATTTTATGCATGCGTTTTACGGCGGCGCGACGCGAATAAAACGAAAATCGATTGTCTCCGCCTCCGAAGGAACGCGATTGGTACAGCAGACCCACCAATCGCAGCTTCCTGAGAAGAATCGGGAGAATTCTACCGCTGGTGGTCCACGCGTGCACACACGCGCACGCCTATTTCCATGGATATGCACGCACGTGCGTACATAAGAATTATTTGCAATGACAACTATCAGGATTCTAGTAACGCTTTTTTAATATTATTCACATAAAACAATATTGAATAAAATGTACATGTCGAAAAACTGTAATGCTAAGTAGCAAACAGACTGGTTGATGAATTCTTCACTTTCCTTATTTCGCACTGACTCTTTTATGTAGCTTACTCTGAAATGTATTCAATTAGCACCTACAGAAAGAATAAGAAATATTATTTACGAAGGAGTATTTAAAAAAAAAAAGTTATTATTAAAATTTATTAAAATCTATTATTTCTCTCTGAAACAAAAGTATTCAAGACAAAGCCGTTAAAGGGAATGCTAGTATTAAAGAATAGAGTAACACTAAAATGACTACAGCATTGTGTGTGCCAAAGAATTTCTGTTTGAATAATATACGAGATATTTACAGTCGCCACGTTATGGGAATCACCCTGTATGCGGGAAGCAAACACTTCGATCGATATCATTCAGGCTGATTCCGTTTGGTTCCGTTGCTAAAGACACTTGGGAATATCGATGTCACGTATATCGTGTAAACACTGGAAACGAGTTTGGTTGATCGAACGAACATGACGTCGAACGAAAGGCGATGTTTCTCTGCCCCGACCGCGTTCAGGCACAAGGCGTACGAGCAACACCGTTTTAAAGTGAATATCAGACACGATTATTACCGGTGATACCATCGACGATGTATATAACGTGTGTTTGAAAATCTCCCTCAGGTGGAACACGCTACGTGCGCGATCGACGTGAATCCACCGCGAAGTAGACCGCACGTGATTCGCAACGCGAAGGGATTGCAAATCGAAAGAGAGAAGCAAGAACGTATAATGAGAGAGAATTTCATACTTCTAAAAAAATTGCGCGACATCATGCACCGGAAACCACCCACAGATGAAACCGCACACAGATTGAAATGGGTCGAATCCAAATGCATTCGAACTCGTTGATACAAATTACAAATTGGTTGATATTATACCATCATACAAATACCATCGTGCCTCTCTTTTCTACAGTTGCAGCTTTTTGTTTCGATATTATTGTCGTAGTCGCATTTCTTAAAAATACAGTGAGAATTTTTATCCACTTTCGTCGTGTGTAAGTCGTTTACATATTTATACCTTTTTAATAAACAAGCGAATATAGATCCTGTTTTGTTCATTTCAAACCTAAGGGATAAGAATTTAGAAGAGGCTAGTCGTAATTTTATTACCGAAAAGAGTAGGTGAGAAACAAAATTTGATGGAACAGGAAGACGAAGGCAGGGAGTACGAGGGAGAGGCTAAAGAATACCCGACCCCTAAATCTTCGTCGATTTTCGAAGACACGACACGAGCGTTGACACAGTCGGAAGCTGGAGAGTGTCTTCATACTTTAGGAAAATGCGATTCTGGCCTCGGTTACGCTTATTTGGGCCTGAACGCATCTAACAAGGGTTTGACAGACATTAGGATCATACCGATGTTCAAATATGTACTTTACGTGAACGTTTCGGGAAACAGATTGACGACCGAAGCTCTCAACGTTCTGTCGTCAATGAAATATCTTCTGATGCTTCAAGCTGACAAGAATCAAGTGTCGTCCGCTGAACTGGAACCTCTACCTTACCTTCAGGTGTCTAGCCCAATTTCATTATAAATTTTTATGATTCTGTTTCTGTACAGGTGCTCTTATGACTTTGTATCTCTACAGGTACTCACGTTGAACAAGAATAAATTAACCAGCACGTCGGGGATTTCCCACAGGCTCTTAGAGTGCCTTGAACTAAATCATAACAATATTCAAGAAGTGACTTTGAACCCTTACGATCTCGAGAATCTAAAGACACTCGAACTTCGTGGAAACATACTCACGTCGACGAACGGAATATTCTTTCCAGGATTGACACGTTTGTACCTTGCCGAGAATCAGATAGAAAAATTGGAGGGTCTGGAGATATTAGTTAATTTAAAGATTCTACATTTGCGTAGCAACAAAATATCGAATTTAGACGGCTTCGACGCGCGATGCGGCAAGTTAAATTATTTAAATCTCCGCAACAACGAGATGTCGAAAATCTCAGAATTGGAGAAACTAAGTTGCTTGTCGGCGTTGGAAACTCTTATCATTTTAGAGAATCCTATCGTTGGCGATATCGAAGAGGACGAGGAAGTGGCTTATAGGCGAATAGTCTTGGCTATGCTGCCTCATCTGATAAGACTGGATAAAAATCCAGTGCTCTACCAGGAGAGGAGAGACGCTAAAGAATTTCACAGACAAATGCTCCGCGATGGTACGACGTTCGCGGATTTGGATGTTGATCCTATAAATACGGGTTGACGAAAATTCAGTTTACCAAACAGATTATACAGATAATATCGATAAATGTTATATCGATTTTCAAATTCTTCGGCATAATAAATATTACGCGATGTTGTATTAAATTAAAATAGAAATAAACTAGATCAAATTCTAATTGGCAATTTGTTTTTTTTTTGTCAAAATTTCG